TATGTATGTATGTATGTATGTATGTATGTATGTATGTATGTATGTATGTATGTATGTATGCATGTATATACAACATTTAGGGATTATTCGGTGAGTTTTCTTGAGGGACGAAAACTTAACACGTTTTCACCTGAATCTTCTGGTGAGATTGACTTTCGAAGGTCTACTTTGAACACTTTTACTCAAAATGAAAGTAAGCCCAACATTCATCGAACAGTCGATTTCAATACCGAATCCTCTTCGGACAGATAGCCGTCAGTAACTTCTGCGGAATAGGAAGACGATGAATCTTCAATGGGAGTTCTAGTCACCTTAGGTTGCATAAAGTGATGAAGAATTAATGTTTGCATTTTTCCCCAATGATGTGAGTAGGCCTTATGTGTCCACAACATGTCTCAAGTTCATGTAGAGCATGGGAATACTTTCACTTGGTAACACAATCCAAATGTAGCTTTATGAGCTATCAGGAAACCATTCAACAAAGATAATAGTTTGAGATGTATTCACCCAATTTCGTGTAAGGTGATGAAGGACTGGTAGTGGAATTTTCCCACAGTAATATGAATAGAGCTGACGTTTCCATTGAATTTCACATAGCCATGTCATTGTGGGAAAATTATACTACCAGTCCTTCATCACCTTAAACGAAATTGAATGAATACATCTCATACTACTGATTCACTGGTAGTCTCGAAACAATACTTAAATGCGAATAATAGTTTGACACTGGCATACATCAGTACTGGCAGGGAAATGTCTGATTTAAGTGTTGTTTAGTACTATTTTGGCCCGTTCTATCAGAAATCCTATTGTTGACAAAATGTATCATATTTCACGATTAACAGCAAATATTAAATAGAGAGAATACATCTTGGGGAGCTAGGCGACATGAAATTCAGTGGCATTGTGTGGCTTGCTCATCTCATTATGTGAAAATTCAAACATCATTCCTTCATAAACTTATGCAAATTTGAGTGACTAGCCCACTTATTCATGATTTGCTGATGCTCGCAATATCTACCCCCCATAAATATGACAAATATCTTATCAAAACTCGGATTTCAGCTAGCAATGACCAAATAAATGGTGAAAACATGTAAAGTAATATGAGACAGGTTGTCATCGCTCTCTTCTATCATAAAATTACTGCTTAACATGCTTATTTATTTTCTGGACGGCCATTCCGTTTGGAGAATTGAATGAATATCCATTTGCTGTCTGCAGGCATTATTTTGAACTTTGACAATATGCAGCCGAGGCAACCGATCTCTCCGCCCCAGCTTCGCCGGTCTTTCTGCAGCTGTGGGTTTTGCCTCAACAACTCGAGCCTCTTGACGTTGTCCCGGGTGAGGCGGATCCTCGCCACTGCCTGACGGACTTGTCTGAAGTGGCGGGAGGACAGTTTGCCGGCCATCCGTGGCTTGCTCGTCACCGAGTCGACTGGCCACTGGAGCGCCAAACTCGTCACTGCGCGCTTCCCTCCTGTCTCGACGTCAGCGCTGGCCACCGGCTTCTGGTGGCAGGCTCGCAGACGGGCGAGTTGGTCATGTGGACACTCGGCTGGCCCGGCTACCAGACGAGTCATGTCACCGAGTCCGAAGGGTGGCCGCGTCCGCAGCAACTGTCCGTTCACTTGATCCTATCAGTTGCGGTAGGTCCGGCGATGATCGTGTCGCCTTTGGTTTGATCGTAGCCTCTTCAGTTTGCACAGTCGGTTCAGCATCCTTTTCGCAAATTGGTTGTCCGGACTGGGCAACTCTGAAGAGCCTACTTGCATTCATAGAAAGTAGGCCTTTTTATTTATATTTTTAATTATTCTTTACGGTTGGGTTTATTTAGTTGACTTACGTTTTTATTTTACCGTTTTCGCGAGTGAGTAGGCTTTTGATACAAAGTAATATTTGATAATTACCCAACGATAATAAATCGGCAAAATTAATATTTTTACGTAAACTAAAACTTTCTAAAATAGCAATAAAATAATTGTAAAATTTATGTGTAAAAGAGATATTTTACTAAATTATTTTGCCGAACAAATGTTTATAAAAGGTTTCAACACAAAATTCACTTCAGCCATAGATGTAAAGAGGAAATGAGCTAATATTAGAAGTGGGTTGACCTCGTTGTCACAACTTGGTCTTGTTGTCAGGGCGACTATGTGGGACGCACCTAGTCTGAAGTCGTCTGCCATAGTAGTTGTCATGATTACCAGTATCTGACAGTGGACTTGGTGCATTCTCATTCGTTTTGCCGGCATCGTAGATGGCATCATTAGTGAGTGCTGCTATTCTCTGAACAAAGCTATGAATTCGTCAAATAAACAAATGAAGTCAATTCCTCGACATGCTTTCTGCCGAAAACGGTTACACTATCACTCCTCTTTCTGTCATTGTCTATCTATCTACTCTTTACACACTTATTCCACTGCCGCCCTATCACAACTTCTCA